GTTTGCTTGTTTACTTCTGGTTCAGAATCGAGTAGTATGAGATCTCGCATTGGTTGGAAAGGGTGTTGAAATCTTTCCTTAGTAAAACCTTAAGGGGAAATCTAAAGAAGACAATATTTGCTAGCGGTGAACTTAAGGTGTTAAAATTGTTAGTTGTGATGGATGTGCAGGTTATTTAATACCACAAGGTTGGTGCGTTTTGGCGTCGTTCATTTCGGTTCATATGGATGAAAATAACTACACAAACGCGCATCAGTTTGATCCATGGAGATGGGAGGTAGGGGGAAATCAAAGTTTTAATATCTTCTTCCCTATTGATCATAATGAAATGACTGAGTGATTGATTGATTGATTGAAAAACTAAGGGAATTGGGTCTGGAAGTAAAAACCAAAACTTTACACCTTTTGGAGGGGGACAGAGGCTGTGTCCCGGCATTGAGCTTGCCAGGCTCGAAATCTCAATTTTCCTTCATCATCTTGTCACGACCTACAAGTACTCTCTCTTTCCCTGTCTCTGCCTTTCTCTTTTCATTTCTGTTCATATGTAGATGAAGAACTAATGAGATATTAACAATAAGCAGATGGGGAGCTGAAAGGGATGAAATCATCCATTTTCCGACAGTGAGGATGAGAAGGAAGCTGCCAATAGCAATTGCAAAACATTAAGCTCTAGTTCGGATTCAATCATCTCGACAACTTCGATATGGAGCTGTCGAGGAGGAAATAAGGCAAAAAAAAAAAAAAAAAAAGAAGGTAAAATCTCCACACAGCAGGTGTAAATATGATATATTGAATGACACAAGTTTCTTTTGTTTTGCTGTGAGATAGATATAGCTAGACAGACCCACGAGGGGTCCTCTGTTTTAAGCCATAACTGTACTGATACAGGAATTCTAGTTTTACTTTACATGGAGCACACCTCAGCTCTCTCTACCATTCTGAATTATGATTCTTGTTCGTGCGTCGCCATCTTTTTGACAGTTCAAACGGGTCCTTCCTTGTCCATTTCCTCCTCTCCTCCATTCAATAGCAGCATTCATTGTACCCAACTCAGTGTATAAAGTTCGTTTGCTTTCCTTCCCTGCTCCTCCTTTTTAATTCAAGGACTTGCAGTATATTATTCTATTCTTCACCCTTTTGATGGGATGATCTTTTGGAATGATGCGGGGAGAACAGAGCACTTCATTTTTCTTTCTCCTACCAAACATGCGTGTTTGAATTGGCGTTTCAATTTCAATTCAATCAAATCAGCTTATGATGGAATCAAATCAACATCACATGCAGTGAAGTAATCGAAAGAAGATGATAATAATAATGGGTGGAGATTCGTACATCATTTCAATTTCAATTCTGTCAATCAAATAGTATGAATTTGAATGAGCTTAAAAGAGAGGCCATACCAATTACAAGGCTAAGTGGGTCAGTAGTGATATGAAGTTGGTAGAGCCCACTGGTGGGCGTGTCCTCTTCCCATGACAATCACAGTTCACATGATTCAACCATCCACCATATTACTGTCCCCCCTTTTTTGGGCGTCGGGGAATACCCAAAAATTCAGTCTGTGTCGGTGTGGATTAATTTATAGGAGAGAGAGCTTAATCTGCACTCCACTAATCATCCTTCAACTTTCAAGTACCATTTGCTGAGCACCCGTATCAGAGATGACATTAGCAACCCAGTTTCTTCTCCATTAGATGAAAAAAGATTTACTATCTTAAATGCTGAAGCTCATGTCTATGATGACACCACCAAAATGGCCCTACTCTTAAAGCTGTGTACTACAGTTTCGATTTGTGTTCAATTCAGCAAAAGAAAAATAATCTACTTGGGAAATAAAACTCTTCATTGGAAAAAAAAAAAAAAAAAAAAAAAAAGCAAACCATGCCCACACAATCTATTTCATAGATTTTTTCTTCTCTTCTTCGAGCTGTTGAAGTTCGGCCAATCTTAGAGCCCATGCTCTTTCCCTCGCTACTGCAGCCATCTTTCGTTCAACTCTCTTGATAATTTTCTTCTTCTTCGCCTCTTGAAGTTGAGCTTTTCGCTTCTTTTTTTCAGCCTGCACATGCAACAGACCCAGTCTCTTGGTTATCGTAGATAAATGTGTCCTCTTGGAAGAGAAATGGACAAATTTCAGAAAGCTACTGCAACTCAGTAAGTAGCTAACCCAGCAAAATGGTGTGGAAACGTGCATGCGTGCATAGCACAAATTATTCATATTTCAACATCAGAAAAGGTTGAAATATTTTCAATTGGAATATTATTGGTACCCATCTTTTTCGTTAAAGAACAAAACAGGGAGATAGAAACTTTTTTAATGCAAATCCGAAAAATTAGAATTTTCAGTACAGCGCCATTTGGATTCATAATATCAAGAAATAAGTGTCAACATAGATGTAAGATATTTCCTCCAAAAAAAAAAAGATAGATATAAGATGCAATATTTTATTCTATAGTCAGATGGAATCATCTAGATTGAAGATATCTACAACGGCAAGTTCCACTGTTTCATAATGCACCATTTTAGTGTAGATCAAGCACTATCCAAATTTAAATTTAAATTTAAAACATTTGACCATGATGCATGGAAGTAACCAAGTCGAAATTTTGCCATTTTACCAAATATATATATAGTATTGGTACCATTGATCAACAAGCATGGCAAGTCTTCAATAATAACATCAAAGAAGGGAACAGACATCAGAATAATTTGATGATGCAGAAGCCTCAGATTAATTGTACGGAGTTTGTAGTGAGAATGTTTTGAAATGGAAAATCATAGTGGATGAATATGTATGCACATAGAATTAATATTTGCTCAAATGTGTATTGGAATGGTTTATAAGTAGCGAGGTCACTAAAATATTTCTATTCTTCTAAAAGAGAACAAAACCAGTTCTTTTACACAAGTCAAGCAGGGGCATGGAGATTTGAAACAAAGTGATTCAAGTTTAGTCATCTGACGCAAATTCAAATTTGTCTATATGAATCAGGCAATCAACATTGATGTCCAAAAAGTAAAAGAATAATTACTAAATTTTATCTAAAAACCAATAATGAACTTACTAGCATGATCTAGTATTTGGTACATTACAAAAAGAACACCAAAAAATCATTTTCAGATTAGACAGATACACCAACACAAATACCCAATTTGCAAACAAAAGATTATGGAATATTTTCTATAAAAAATCTTGAAGAGCAGCATACTGATTCCAAAACCAAAGTAAAGGGTGTGTACAATATGAGATTGCCAGTTGAATGATAAAAAATAATGAAGAATCTAGAACCCAGAAAGTTACTAGTTCAACATAATAAGACTTATATGCCGTTATAAACTTGGAAGCTTCCACAATTTCAGCCTTAAAATCCTCCTCCCCTTCTCCAAACTAACTAGTAAAAACTGGAGTTTAATTATCATAACAGGGTAGCGCAGCTCTAGCAGCAATCCTTTCTACTCAAAGTCATGATTTTTATTAATTTTAAAAAGTATACTACAATGTGGAGTTCATAAGGCAGTTTAGCACAGATCAACATAAACCAGCCACCAATAGGCCAGGATGTTTTAAATTTCAATATGGCAGTAACTCTTCACCAATTAGAAATTGATAATACTTTTAACAATTATACCTCAACACATAGCAATGCTTATTAGGGAGAACAACCAAATTTAAAAATAGAGCTACAAAACAAGCAAGAAGAAAGATATCGCTGAACATTACTTAAAAGTTCATCATAATATGACATACGAACCAGGATAAACGCGCGGCGCAGCCTAATGCGTTTCTTCTCATTCCTTCTTTTCACGCTTCCTTCATTCGGTTGATTAGGCTGAATTGGCTCACCAGGGGTATATTTAACCCAAGCGTAAGGCCCTGCCATTCAGCAAAAAACATTTGGAAACAATTAATTCATGTAATCGAGCTTCCAGTAAAAAGCAAATTATAAGCCGATAATCTAAACGTTCAAGAAATTCAAGTTAAACGAACCAGGGGGTCTCAAGCTGGCCCTCTTACGACGAGGTTTATCACTGGGCCGTCTCTTCGGTAACCGAGTGTCGGTCAAACTGTTGAAATGGTTCGAAATTGGGAACCAAGGAGCTTTAGTTCCAACTGCACCAAGAGATCGGAGATTAAACCCCGATTTAGGGGAAGTGAAAGCGGACGGAGATGGTGTCAGGGAAGTGAAGGGACGTGATCCCAAGGTCCTCGTTAGCGGTCGGAGAGCTGATCTTAGGATTCCAAGCCCCATCTCTGTAGTTGATCGAAATGGCGGAGGGAGGTTGAGGAAGACGGAGGTAGGAATGCGGAGTCGTGCCCGAGAGGATGCGGTCGCAGTAATTACTTTCCTGGACTGCGCGATCGAGTTTTGGGCTGTAATCTATCAGAAGCCCAGTGTTTAATGGGCCGTAATCTATCATAAGCCCAATGTGTAATGGGCCGGACTCTTCTCCAAATCAAGGAAAAGAATTGCTTTTATATATATATATATATATATATATACACTTCCATGAGCTAGTTCCATGTTTAGTGATTCCCCTCCCAAGTCCATGCTCTGTGCTTCAACCCACCCCGTTTGAGTCTTCCAATGCGATCTTGTGTCACCTAATTTTACTTTCGAGTAGCTAGTGAATTAAACTTGAGTCACTATTAGCACCGTTGATATACGCTTAAGCTTCCGACTCTGCTCTTAGAAAACCGGGTTAGAGAAAGTTTTGGAAAAACATCTAAAAAGTAATATCATAGGCTAGTGAGTCACATACAGCAACACATCGATAACGTATAATCCGAAGAGAAAGAATTGACAATTAATACATTTTTAGGCATTTAGCGTGTGGACATCATTTTGATCACACACTCAAATTCCATAATAATAAAATGGTTTTAAGAAAAAAAAAAGGTTCGAAATAAGCGTACGGCCACAAACAACACACTCTACCCTATATAAGCATAACCGTGATATTAAGCATACAGCCACAGGCAATACGTTTCATACAAGCATGGTCGTGACACTCTATCTTCAATGGTATCATTGTAATAGCTCCCTTTTGTAACTTAAGTTTATAGAATAAACCAACCCAAATGGATGGAAATCGCTCAAAGAGTTGAACTCTGTCGTCAGTACCTCTAATCAACACAAAGAAGGGTTCAGTTTCTTTTCGAAGAAGACTGCAAATTATATTTCAAGAAGCAAGATAAAAAACTGCAGTGACATTTCAACTGGAAGAATGGTGTTTCTCTCTCAAATGAATACAAAATTTAACGATCAGCTAATCTTCTAGTTCTGATCCGTAGGCATCATCAGCTAAGGCGCTTCTCTCTGCATCCTGAAGCTCTGATCCATCACGAAAATATATCCCAGCTTGATTGAACAACGCCAGCAAATGCAGCAACTTCAAGTTACACAACTTTGCAGGCCTCTTATCTTCAAACTTCCCAGATTTCAAAACCTCTATGATTTTCTCCTTGAACAAATTAAACCCCTTCTCTGAAGATGAAGAACAGCCCTCTTCTTCAACTCCTCGACCATTGAAACTCTCAGAATTGGAGTTCATTAGGGCCATCAGCATCCTCTTCTGCTTGAACGTTGCCCCAAGTGTCTTGTTCTTCTTCCCAAAGCAAGTTCTAGTGAAAGCCCGCCATTCTTCCAGGTTCACTTCAGGAACTTCCTTCTTGGGGCGGATTATCACCACGGATGAGTCGACTTTAGGACAAGGAACAAAGTCCCTCTTGCTTACATCCATTACATGCTCTACATCAGCCACCAATTTCACATTTACAGCCAAACGATTGTACTCAGAGTCACCAGGATTCGCCAACAACCGCCGTGCAAACTCTTTCTGAAGTAGAAGCGTGGCACTCCGAAATGGAATTGCCCCATATACCAATTTGGCCACAAGCGGCGAAGATATCCCATAAGGGATGTTGGCCACGACGAGGTCGAAAGGAGGGAACTCACATTTCAAAGCATCTTCGCGTATAACCTACAAAAAAACCCCCACTCCCACATTTCAAAGCAGTTTATCCTCTGTCAGACATTTCATCGAACACATAGACAGCAATATTAACTTACACAAATACGGTCTTCAAACTTATTCTCCGCCACGCGTCTGTGCAGAACCTCGACCATTCTTTTATCAATTTCAATGGCTATGACCTTTTGGGAAGCTTCCAGAAGCTTCAATGTCAGATTTCCGGTGCCGGGTCCGATCTCTAAGACCGTGTCGGTCGGCCTTATGGCAGATTTTCGAACAATAGAGCCCAGAATTCGTGGGTTCGTAAGAATGTGCTGGCCTCTACTCTTGTAGAAATACAATTGAGGTTCTTCGTTCCCATCCTTGGGAACGTTTTCTTTCTCGCCATGGTTTCTGTGGTTGTATTGATAAGAGGATGCCGAGCGTGTACAGTGAAGGAATTGGTCGTGGTTCAGGGCGTTGATGAACCTGCATAGATTTTTATGGGGACGAAGCATTAGGGATTTCACTATTCGATAGGAATCAGAAGCAGCAACGCGAAGATTTGCATAAATTCTCGAAGCTCAGTTGATTCCAATGGAGACACTGCCCGAACCAATCGGCAAATTGCAATGCAATTGGCGTTCGTGTAATTGTAAATAGTAAAGAAAAAAATAAAATATTTTTAATTTTTTAGTATCAATATTTTATGTATCATAAACTATAAGAAAGATATAAGGCTGGTCATAAATTTAATATATTTATAAGTTTAAATTTCATTCAATATCTTATAAACTCGATCGAAAATATATATAAACTAGAAATAAAAGGAAAAAAACAATTATTTGTAAACTCCAATGTTATTGAATGAACATGAAACAGAAGAGCAATGATTGGATGTAATTTTATGTCCATTCAAATGTAAAACATACATTATGCTGTCTGCGGTTCAAACTACATTGTCTTATCTTTGATGTTTTTATTATATTCATTTATCTTTTGTATTTGGAACTTATTTTCAGGACAATAATTATGGGAACGACCATCAAACTATTTAAATCTAGTGTGATAACCAGGTGTCTTATTTATCTCTAGAAGATATTTAATTTAATAATTTAGAGAACAAAAACAATAATATTATCAAATATGTTTTAGGATCTTTATTTTCTTTTAAGAAATAAGAAATAATTACGAACATAATTATATTTTTACTTATTAAAAAAGTAAAAATAAAAAAAAATTAAAAGGGTATTTTTTATCTATCTCACGTGAATTATCGTGCATTTCAAAATACAAATATTTATTATTTATGTATTTAAATCACTAGTTTTTAACTCATTGAGAAACACATTTCCCGAAATGATTGAACACTTAATTATGTCATCCAGTTAAATAACAAATACATTAACTACTAACTATATTAAATTTCGGTCAGCCCCTTAATCGAAATCTCATTCACATTAAAATGGAAGAGAAACAAGCCACTCAAACCAATCAAATTCTCTATTTTATTTTTAATATCCATAACTACCCTACATATTACAATAATAATTGAAAAATAAAAAGAATAAATTTTAAACATTTACGGTCACTTTACATCACTTTACATCACTACTATTTATTATAGTCCTTAAATATTCATAATCTTGTGTGAAGTAGGGTAGAGTTGAGTTAGTTGGGTTGATTTGTAACTTTATTTTCGAGTTGATCGGGTTGATCTAATAAATGAATGTGAATCTAATTTTTTATTTTTTTTAAAATTTAACTCTATCCAAAATAAAAAAAAAAAAAAAAAATTCAACCCAATTTTTATAGTTTTAGTTAGGTAATCCAAAGTGTTTTAATTATTAACACAACTAATCTATCATAAGGGTAAAAGAATCCTAAATCCAATGGGTCTAACATATTATTCAAATTCAGGCTTATATCAGTTCATATAATGTCTATTTTGAGGTAAATTTTGAAAAGAGGGTTTGTTTTAATTTGTAAATTAAAATATTTTACTTTTATCAATACTTTTGGAAATAAAATTATTTTAAAAAAATACATTACAAAAACAAACTAATTTCTTGCTCAACTTTTAGAAAGCAGTTCCTCCAAGTCATCGTATTATAACATAAAATTTGAAATTAAGCTGCTAACCTTAATTTAACATCCAAAAAGAATTAAAATTCAAAATTCCAATTCCTCAAATACTTCAAGAATCAGTTGAATAACCCAAATCAATTTACTCCCACTAGTATAATTTATAATTGAGTTAAAATAATTTGTTATTGTATATAAAAAAAGGGCAATTAACTAATTTTAAAAATTCAAACTTTATTAGCAATAATTGAAAAGTGAGATCCATTATGTAAGGCATCTTGAAGGAAATTTCCCAAAATACTAGAATTGAAAGTTAAAAAAAAAAAAGAATTATAAATGTGGGTACCCATAATTTGGACCCCTTAAACTTTATAAACAGGGAAGAGGAAGAAAGAAAAAAGGCAAGGAATCCAATCTCTTCACTGCCGTGTGGCGTGGCAGTGAAGCCGCAAAGGGCAAACAAAAGGGCGCGCACGCTAGGCCAAGGGCCAAAAGGCCGAACAAAAGGGCGCGCACGCTAGGCCAAGGGCCTAAAGGCCGAACAAAAGGGTGCGCGCGCCAGGCCAAGGGCCTAAAGGCCGAACAAAAGGGTGCGCGCGCCAGGCCAAAGGCCTAAAGGCCAAACAAAACCGCGCGCGCGCGCCATGGCCAACGGCTATAGCCGAGAGCAGAATCAAAATCAATGAACGATGATGACCTGAGGTGCCGTGGTTTATGTGCGCCACGTTCACCTAGGTTTTTAACCTCTTCTGTACTCATCTATGTGCCTATGTGGTATATGAGATTAAAAAAAAAAAACCTTTTATAACTTAACACTGTACTGCTAAATAAATAAAATATTTTATATTTCATCTTAAAAAAAATACTCTTCCCCTCTCAAAATTTTTTATAATAACTTAAATTAAAAATAACATTAAACTTTTAAAATGTCTTGATAAACTTTATTAAAAAGTTAAAAAATATAATATATGGACGAAACCGTTGGTACTAATTTTGACTTTTTTTTTTTTAGAAAAAGTTTTAATTTTTTTTTTTTACTTGCATAGATGGATTTTATTTATATGTTAATAATAATTTTTTTAAATAAAAAGCTAAAATGTAATGTTAAAATTCACTAATAATAAAGGTATTTTTTTTATTTTAAATGAGAGGAAAAATTACGAAGGAAAAATTAACAAAATGAGAAGTAAATTAAATTACGAAGGGCCGATACCTGCGGGGACGAGGACCATTGCCCTCCAACTAGGCGGCGTGGGGCCGTAAAGCGGCGGTGTTCTAGGGTTCCAATCTCCTTATCCCACTCTTTCCGCCATCGAAGGCACCTCAAAAAACAAATACAAAATTAAACAACGAAGGAACAAAGTTAATGGAAATTGAATAACTCTGCTTTATTGTTCCTTTTTGCCAACTCCACCACCACGACACATGGGTCGCTTAGATCCGTAAAGATCGTTTAGTTTAATCTCCCATTAAACAAATCTCGACCCATTTTTTTAATTCTCAATGGGTCCATGACAGCGTCATTAAAAGTTCAGTAACAGATGAAAGATTCGTGAACGGAAGGCAGGGCGGAATGGACAAGCAGGAAGACTGCAGAATATGAAATAAAATTGGAGAAAAATTCCATATTGAATTGGAAGAAATCTGTGTGGGTGACATGTATGTAATAAGAATAGGAAGATCGCATAATAAACATACTGTTTGTTGGTTCAAGGCCAGCTGGTTTCTGACACAAGTGAGGATCTTTATAAGGAAGATGAAAAGGGACAATAAAAAATTAAAAAAGAAAAAACTTGGAGACTGTGTCACTTGGGAACAAGAAATGGGTCAAAGAGAAAACAGAGTAATTGATGTACCTGAAAAATCATGTCCCTTAATATTGTTCCTATCATTTTGTACCATGGAAGATGTACCTGAAAAAGCTTGAGTTTAATAATATTCTTCAACTATGTTTAGGTATACCACCTAAGTTAATGGATATATAAGATAATGAAAGATCAAATAAAAGATAAAAAATGAAACTTGGGTGGCTTAGAATGAAGAAACAAATTTGAGGAGTAAAAATGTTGAAGAATTAAAGAGGATGTTGGTTTTCCTTTGGATTTCACATGACCCATTAAAGCCAAGGGAAGGTTTGGGGTTCACATGGCGTTTGGTAGAGTGGGGCATGCGCTACACAGAGACCCAGACAAAAGTAGAGCATTTGGGGACATCAAGACATGTTATCTTACCATTTCCTTACGAAATCGGACCACTCCACTCCACAAATGCAGCTCTTGTTGGTTTGCTTTGGCTTTAGCCACAATACAGTCAAAATCCCTGGCTCTGTTCTTGTGAAGTTAAGAACTTTCAGTAAAATATTAAAGCATTTGTTTATCAGAGGGTTCATATATGGGAAGACAAATTTGACACTTCGTCAGAAAAGAATAAGTTGCAAGCAGGTACACTTTGTTAGAAAAACAAGCTTAACAATGACATGTTAATTTAATCACTTGATGTAAGCCGTTTACTTGCTACTTTTGTTTTTTATAATCACAGTTTGGTAGGTCACTAGAGGTACGGCATCTTTCACTTTTTGCTAGTGAGCTGTGGTGGCTTTTGACACTTGTGACTGTCGGTGAGTGGAGGCTGTATATAAAGCCAGGCATATAGGTTCATTGATTTGCAGTCATCGGAGGCTCGGATCCAAGTGCCGTGTTCAAACTGGGAATGAGCTCCTCTGCTGCTTTGGTTGTGGTAACAGATGCTTGGAATAGATCATAAATAGGAGCCTCTTTTCCTCTCGGTGCGTTGTAGATCTGCATTCAACTTTCCCTTCGTTGGCCAGAAAGTCTCGAGTCCTCCTCTTTTTTTGCTCAGAATGGCAACCAACTCGGTTTCCAAGCTTTCAATAGTGGTTTTGGGGTTATTTTGGCTTCTGGGTGTTCAGCTTGTTCAATGTAGTGTGACCTATGATAGAAAGGCCATTTTAATCAATGGGCAGAGGAGAGTTCTCTTTTCTGGCTCCATACATTACCCCAGAAGCACTCCTGAGGTACACATCTCTGTTCCCTTTTTGTTCTTGGTGGGAATGTTCGGAGTTTTGTTTCTGATTTTTGGAGGCATGGAATTTGTGTAGATGTGGGAAGGTCTGATACAGAAAGCAAAAGAAGGTGGTCTTGATGCTGTTGAAACCTATGTGTTTTGGAATGTCCATGAGCCTTCCCCTGGCAATGTACTGTAATTCTCATAAACTTGTTCCGAAAATTCTTTGTTTTCCTCCTCATTTTGCTTGTCCTTTATGCTTTCTACGAATTTCAGTACAATTTCGAAGGGAGATATGATCTGGTGAGGTTCATAAAAACCATTCAGAAAGCTGGACTCTACGCAAACCTACGCATTGGACCTTATGTTTGTGCAGAATGGAACTTTGGGTACCCCCTTCTTACTTATAATCTTCATCTCTTTCTTTCTCTCTTAATTTTTCTGGCTCTTCTCAACGAGAAGCTTGACTTTGCACCAACATTTTCCCTTGTTCTAATCTATAACGCTTCCTGCAGAGGGTTTCCTGTTTGGCTGAAGTATGTCCCAGGCATTAGTTTCAGAACTGACAATGAACCTTTCAAGGTATTTGCATATGCACGCCTCTTTAATCGATATGCTAAAAGCTAAAGTAAAGGGGAAATGCATTACTTTTAATAGCCATTGGGCTGTTTTATTAGTTTTGCCCAGAGTTTATGGAAAACCCCTCTAAATCACTCTTGGTGTTACAGAAAGCAATGCAGGGATTTACAGAAAAAATTGTGGGGATGATGAAAAGTGAAAAGTTGTTTGAGTCTCAAGGTGGCCCCATCATTCTCTCTCAGGTACTGATTTCTAGTTTTCATTTCTTACTTGGCAAGATAATCAAAGAACATAAAAGGTCCTAATTCTTTCTTCTGAAGAATAGCTCTAATTGGAACTAGAGTGGTTGAAATTATGGCAACGATAAAATGGGATTTTAATATTGTAGATTGAGAATGAATATGGAGTACAGAGCAAGTTATTTGGGGCTGCTGGGAAAAATTACATGACCTGGGCGGCAAAGATGGCTGTAGGACTGGAGACTGGAGTCCCATGGGTGATGTGCAAGGAAGAGGATGCCCCAGATCCAGTGGTGAGCACTTCTCTTCTCTATGTTACTCGAATTTTTGAAATGGAGTTCATTGTTGTTCTGTTGTAGTTATTTAGCTTGGAACTCAGTCTCAAGCAAAGACAAAAGCTTGTCTATGAAACTCTGGTTTTGTCTTGTGACAGATTAATACATGCAATGGCTTTTATTGCGATACATTCTCTCCCAATAAACCCTACAAACCTACAATGTGGACAGAGGCATGGAGTGGCTGGTTTGTAACAGACTCTCTTATCTCAGTATTGATCATCTTAAAGTTCCTCATTTTTGCTGATTTGTCTTTGACAAACCTGAAGGTTTAATGAGTTCGGTGGTCCAATTCACCAGAGGCCAGTTCAAGATTTGGCATTTGCCGTTGCTCGGTTCATTCAAAAAGGAGGATCTTTTATTAACTATTACATGGTTGGTTTTCTGTGACACAAGCATTACTTTATTGTAAATTATTATCCTATAAAATTCTCCTCTCGTTGTGTGACAGTACCATGGAGGGACAAACTTTGGACGCACAGCAGGAGGACCTTTTATCACTACCAGCTATGACTATGATGCTCCAATTGATGAATATGGTGAGAGTTGAATGTCACTTGTTCAAGATAGTTTTCCGGACATGCATAAAACCAAAGGGATTGTGCTCATGACTGCTAAAAAGGCACATTATTTATTCACACATTAGACCTTGTGGATGTAACATGTCTGGTTAAAGAAAGTTAGGAAATATGATAAAAATGGATATAGTGCTGTTCCTATGCTATTGATAATTTGGAAATATTTTACATTGACCTCTTTGTTCAAAAACAATGATAGGTTTGATTAGGCAGCCAAAATACGGTCATTTGAAGGAGCTTCATAGGGTGGTGAAGATGTGCGAAAAAGCTTTAGTTTCAGCAGATCCAGTTGTGACTTCTCTAGGGAGCTCTCAACAGGTTTTTTCTACTTGTAGTCTGTGATTCTCTAGGCTCTCATCATCTAAGCATAATCAGAGTTACTGAGATTCGACATTCAACATTTCCAGGCTTATGTTTACACATCAGAATCAGGAGATTGTGCAGCCTTTCTTTCAAATTATGACATAAATTCAGCTGCAAAAGTGATGTTCAATAACGTGCACTATAGTTTGCCTCCATGGTCCATCAGTATCCTTCCTGATTGTAGAAACGTAGTTTTCAATACAGCAAAGGTTTGAAAAAATTTCTTGCTTTTAGTTTAGCTAGTGGCAAGACGTCAGCAGGATCTGGTTCCGGCTCACCTTGCTTTGTTATTTACTTGTTTCCCAGGTTGGAGTTCAAACATCACAACTCGAAATGCTACCAACAAACTCTCCTGTGTTCTTATGGGAAAGCTACAATGAAGACATTTCTGCTGAGGATGATAGCACAGCAACAATGACTACTTCTGGTTTACTGGAGCAGATAAATGTTACCAAGGATACTAGTGACTACCTATGGTATATTACTAGGTGAGACTCTTGCTTGCTTACAATTTGATAATGAATTACTTTATACTTCATCTTTCTTCATCCAATTATGTGGATAAAAATCGTTGGAAGTCTAACTTACCGATCATCTTGTCATCTGATCTTCCAAATCACAAAAAGCCTAGAAGAATTTTTGGGGGTGGAAATAGAATCGAATAGACTAATCTTTGATCAAATAGAAACCATGAAAGTTTGCTTAGGCGATGTTTTTCCTTTGAGGTTAGCTCAGGTTTTCTGATGCTAGGGAACCTAATATTTTCCTTTCCAATGTCCCTTCAGTGTAGATATTGGTTCAACAGAATCCTTCCTGCATGGTGGAGAACTCCCCACACTGATTGTTCTGTCAAGTGGCCATGCTGTGCATATCTTTATTAATGGGAGGCTTTCAGGTATAGTACTATTTCATTCTTCTTTCATGCCACCTCTCATGAAGAAAGCAGGAAATTTTAATAACTATCAGTCATTTATCAGGTTCTGCATTTGGGTCGAGAGAAAATCGGAGATTCACTTATACTGGCAAAGTCGATTTTCATGCCGGACAAAACACAATTGCACTCCTGAGTGTTGCTGTGGGATTGCCAGTGAGTTTTATTCCCTCATTTTACATAGCCCATTCAATTGATGCTGAAGTTAGTCTTGAAAGGGGTTCCCATGTAGCTTTTCTTACTAAACTATAAAAGCATGGATGCTCTTGATCGCTCCCCAAGATGTAGGGGTGCTTAAATTAAGCTTGGAGAACTTGTACAATCTGAGCTATTTTTACAAGCCACTCGATCACAAATTTCAAAATACAGTATTGAAAACAAAAATAGACAATTGCTTTCCAAGTATTTTCCAAATGGCCCCTTAAATTCCAATAGTATATCTTTTGGATCCCCACCCTACACATCCATTTGTTGCTAATTTCACATTTTGAATTGTTGGTACTGAAGAATGTTGGGGGGCACTATGAGACATGGAACACCGGAATCCTAGGTCCTGTTGCTCTTCATGGACTTGATCAAGGAAAATTGGACTTATCCTGGGCAAAATGGACCTACAAGGTTTGATCACTTAACTCAATTTTCTCAATTGTTATGATTTCATCTCCCACAAACTTTACCTCACTCTCTACGCTACTAAAATAGGTTGGGCTGAAAGGAGAAGCCATGAATCTTAGATCTCCAAACAGTATTTCTTCAGTCGAATGGATGAAAGGATCATTGGCTGCACAAGCACCGCAACCACTGACTTGGCACAAGGTACCTCTTGACCCGAAATTCAACTTGATTTTACAAAGAAAGTTGAGATGACTCTTAAAAATATCAACCTCACATTTCACTTGCAGAGTAACTTTGATGCCCCTGAAGGAGATGAGCCATTGGCTTTAGACATGCAGGGAATGGGGAAGGGTCAAATATGGATTAATGGACACAGCATTGGAAGATACTGGACTGCATATGCCACTGGTAACTGTGAGAAGTGCAATTATGCTGGAAGCTTTAGACCTCTCAAGTGTCAGCAAGGCTGTGGCCAGCCAACACAAAGATGGTAACTTCTTCACATTAGGGAAAAGCTCATCAATATTGAAGAATGAATTTCTTTTACAGAACCCAGCTATATTTCATTTTCAGGTACCATGTGCCTCGTGCTTGGTTGAAGCCAAAAGACAATCTGTTAGTAGTCTTTGAGGAACTTGGAGGTAATCCCACAAGCATCAGTTTGGTGAAGAGATCAGTGACTAGTGTCTGTGCTGATGTCTCTGAATACCATCCAACTCTTAAGAATTGGCACATTGAAAGCTATGAAAAGTCGGAGGATTTACATAGGCCCAAAGTTCATCTCAAGTGTTCTGTAGGTTATTCCATAACTTCAATAAAATTTGCAAGCTTTGGAACACCATTAGGAACCTGCGGGAGCTACCAGCAAGGAACTTGCCATGCTCCTATGTCGTACAACACTCTAGAGAAGGTGCGAAAACTAAGATCCATTTTTGCTTTTTGTTTCATTGTCTGTATATAAATCCCACCTCATATTTTCATCTCTCTTTCTACAGAGGTGCATAGGGAAGCAAAGATGTGCCGTTACCATATCCAATACTAACTTTGGGAAAGATCCATGCCCAAGTGTGTTGAAGCGACTATCGGTTGAAGCTGTATGTGCTCCGACAACTACGGCTGCAGAAACCAATTGGAAGGGTTGATTGAGTTGGCTGAAAAGAGGAATTTAGCTGCCTATGAAGGGTCGCATTCTGCGACTTAAACTACCAACTACCAGTAACAAGAGCAAACAGAAGGATGATGGGTACAGGAGTACTTTTTCAAGTTGTGTCTGATGATTTGATTTTCATATTGAGTCGATTTTTCTTCAAGGATGTGTGTGGTGCCAAAGGCAATAGATTCTTAGGTATAGGGCGTAAAGTTTGTAATCCCCGGGGTTCTGCAATCTAAGGCCCTGAGGTTGTGTTTCAATTCCCATTCCTGGCATTTTTACTGGAAATGGGTCTTGAGAAAAAATAGTTAATTTATTATATCCTGTAATTTATTTCAGTTTGTTATATTGGGAAAAAAAATCAACCCCACTTAGGATCCGTTTACTTTTGTTTGAGTGGAACCTTTTTGCATAAGATATGATAAGATCCGAAGGTTCAGATTCCTCCAGTTATGGAGTAGGGTATAATTTCATTCCAAAATGCACGACTTTACTGTCTAATCGAATTTAACAAAGGGTGCAAATTCAGAACAATCTAATAAGATATGTTAAACAAATCTTCCTCCTAAAGAAATCAATTTCTTTTCCTTTCAGCTTTATGGAGAAAATTAGTGCTCAAGAGTCCAAGCAATGGCTCACTGAATATCAGATTCCAAATCCCAATTAAAGTGATGCAAAAATGACAATGTTTTTCACTTCTAAGGTAGAAGAAAAGACGAGCAATAAAAGCCACTTCTCAAGGGAGAATACACCATGTTCACTCGTAACAACAAAGCAAGCGGATAGGAGTGGTAACCAAGAATTGAAAATTATGGCGGTTTCCTAGTATAGTAAAGTCCTTTATATCCTACTACAGAGCCCAATCGTCCATGATTGAGTATCAAGCAGAAGCAGTAGCAGACATATGCTTGAATACAGTCTGCTGCAGTTCTTCCTTCTTAGCTCCAACCACTTTGTCCACAATTCTTCCCTCTTTCAGGAACATGAAAGTAGGCATTGCCTCCACCCCCCAATCTTTAGCTACAGACTGCACCAATCAACACAGTTTTACAAGAGAAAGAAGGAGAGGTACTCATAAATTATAATCTACAGTACCTCAAGATCATCCACATCAACCTTTAGAAATGTGACAGTGGGAAATTTTTGAGCAAGCTGGTTTAGAAAAGGTTCAATGAACCGACATGGACCGCACCATGATGCAGAGAAATCCACAACTATCTGCATCAGTTTCAGCACTCATGAGCAAAATCGAACTATATGAAACGAACAGTAACTAAGTTCAAGTGTCAAGAACTCAATAATTGGTTTAGTCCCTACTACATTAAAATAGGAACTATTCTGGCGAGAAAATGATTGGTGGCGAAATGTAGTCAAGGATTGGATTGGGTTGGGTAGCTTCGTATAATGATCTAAAATCTACTAAAACATGTATCCAATTTGTTCGCTGTGGAAAGCAATAAGTGGGAGACAGCAATGAGATTGATTGTTGAATAAAGAAAAGCGAAGCACGAAAGATTCGAAACACTACTTTTTCTACCATATCACAAAAGCAAAGAAAAAAAATCAAAGAATGAAAAACTTAAGTTCATCGCGCATATGTATATCATTTAGAAACACAACAGACTGCAGATCAAAACAAGTAATGCAAAAACAGGAAAACTCCGCTATTGTTCAGCCGAAAAGACAATCAATTATGATCATATATCCAATTGAAATGAGGAGCATATTATCGAAGGGAATTGAAATGGTCCTTACAAGCTCCTCAGAGGCATTGCCCTTCTGAATTTGTTGGTTCCATGAACCAATGGTGTTACAGCGAATGACTCGTCCCTCTGCTGCGGCTGCCATTATTCTCTTACTTTTTACGAATCTCTGAGAAAACCGACGCACGAAACGGATTCTGATCACACACCGCGAATTTCTCCTTTAAATAAGCAACTAGAAATGCTTTTTTTTCACAGAAATGGACCTCACTTTGTCATTAATCACGAGTTTGCCACCCCCAGTTAATGGACCGCTTTCAAATTAAATTCCATGCAACGTGAGATTTTTTTTTTCTTTTGGATTACGCGGCAAAACTAAAAACTAAAAAATAAAAAATTAAGGTCACATTTAAAATTATTATTGTTATTTTTAATAATTTAAAATTAATCTCTTGTTTTTAGGCCACGTGCTCAAAATAAATCGCTATATATATATATAGGAGATTAATATTCCATAGATAGAGGCTAGAAATGTCTTTTCGTTCATGTGTAACCTACAAGTTCTTGTTGGGGCCTAATTTTCTTTTGCTTTTTTACACATTTTCCACTATATTTTAATAATTATTCACCTTTATACCTATAAATTTAGAATATTGTATAATAAACTTTATAAGTGTATTAATTTATATTATTTATTAGATTCTGCTCTTAAAAAAGTTAGTTTAAATTATGTTTGAAAGAATTAATTTAGGTTCCTAATTTAAAAACTCTCACATGTGCATATTTTTTAAAAATACTATTTAAAATAAAATTTCTTGATATAATTAAAATTTACTTAAAAAATTTAAATTAATATAATTATTAATTAGTCGAAGCTTTATCATTTCATAAAAAACCTTATCTTATACAAAAGGTGACCATGATTCTAATTCAAATAACGACAAGAGAAATTAATATAATAGTTTCAATTTAAATATCATTACTTTAAATAATAAAAACAGAATATAACATTAGCCGCCGACTCCAAACTCGATCAAAATTGTATAAATAAATAAATAAATAAATATATATTGTTTTAATTATGGCGTGAATAATGATAGAGGCCACTTTGAATGGCTCATCAAGAGTGACCATTATTAGCCACACAAATTGGGGTTTTCATGGACCAACCTCTGTCCCCTCTTCATTTTGACCAAATTTCTTTCTAATTTTTTTTGTTTTTATTTTATATGCAAAAAATAAATATCATATGTATTAAATCTATTCATATAATTTAAAATGTGTGACAGATTTCCTATATTTGTCATGTTATAAACAATCTTTTTCAGTTTCCCTATTAATAAATTAATAAATTGAATATGCACTCATTAATAAATGTCCTTAGCTCTTCCACTCGTGATAGATCAAGTTTATTTCTCGTCTAAGCCTATCATTAGCAAATATTATTCTATTTGAACATTCATTTTAAAGTTTAGAACGTGTCTACTAGGGAGAGATTTTGTTAAGAATGATGCTCTGATGCTATGTTAAAAATGAGAGACATAAGTGAGATGTAAAGTCTAATAAACATAGGTGGGATCGAAAGTCTCATTTTTATTAAGGCTGACTGCATTTAAATAGAATACAAAGTACAAACTAAATCCTAAAAATAAGATAAAATATTCTACTAACCAAATCATGAAAATAAGATAAAATATATCAAATATAAAATCTATGATTACGGGCTATATAAAATATATTTCAATAGATTTTTAGGTCCTTCCAAACAATGCTTTAGTCCCCTTTCCAACCAATGTAGGACCTCTCTCAGATAAAAAAGAAGGGAGATTGAGAGAACCCATATGTTGAGATCTACTCTCTATGACATATGGTTTATTTTGTCTCGATAAATGATCGTATCTTATCTCGAGACTAAGACCTATAAAGATAGGGAGAAGAAACTCCGAAATGAGTATGTCTAGATTCTCAAATTCATTATCTATTTTCGAACTCAACTCTATATGCGATATTTCACATTGGTTGGGGAAGAAAACAAAACACTATTTATAAGAGTGTGGAAACCTTCCCCTAATAGACGTGACACATTTTAAAATTTTGTGGGAAAGCCCAAAAGGAAAAGTCCATAAAGGACAATATCGGCTTACAATGGGCTTGAGTCCTTACAAATGATATCAGAGCCAGACATCGGATAATGTGTCAGCCTTCTCGCCCTTCCTCGAAGGGGGTAGACACAAGGTGGTGTGCTAGGAAGGGCGCTAGGTCCCGAAGGGGGTGGATTGTGATGTCCCACATTGATTTTTATTGTATTACATAAAATTTAATTCTTTAAATAATTTATTTATTTTTTCTAAGAAACCTGAAATATTTATATTTTATCAGTATTATTATATTTTATAGTAAGATTTAAATTTATTGTATTAATAGTTTATCTTAAAAAAGAAAAAATTTATGAAGCCCCATGTATTTGAGTTTGATGCGTTAGAGTTAGATATATTTAGTTAAATTAAAGAAATTAAATTTCAACCGAATTTATTTGTTTGAATTTTGCTGAACTGGTAATTTGGTATCAGAACGGAAAACGAAAATTTCTACGCGCATAAAAAACCGGCTGTCCATTTCTATATCTATAAAACCTAAAACAATTACTTCATTTCCCTCTCAAAACCCTTTCGAATCCCTCGCAATGGCAGCGATTTCACAGTTTATAGTTCTGCTTCTGTTAATCTCTCTCGCCAATCTCTGCAATGGAGGTATTACCAGTAAATTCATGAGGAAACTTGAAGCTTCTGTCGATATGCCTGCAGGAGCTTTCCCCCCGCCCGCCGGTTACAACGCACCCGAACAGGTCTCGCCTGATCAAATTCTTTGATCTTCAAGACTTCAGATACTATCGATTTTCAACTGGTTTTCATTGTTTTGATGAATTTGCAGGTTCACATTACACAGGGAGATCGCCATGGCAGAGGCGTTATAATTTCGTGGGTGACGCCATTGTCGCCCAAACCTACTGTTGTCAGATATTGGGCGGCGGATGGGGACGGGAATCGCCGCAATAAAGCACATTCCAGAATCACCACTTACAAATATTATAATTACACTTCTGCATTCATCCACCACGCCACCATAAACAATCTTGAGGTTTGTTCTTGCTCTGATTTTTAAACCCTATGCTCTATCCGTATTTTCTAGTCCTGAAATTGATTCGGAAATTGCGTTGTAGTACGACACTAAATACTTCTACGAGCTTGGAAGTGGCAATGCAACGCGTCAGTTTTTCTTCACAACGCCTCCCAGGGTCGGTCCAGATGTTCCATACACATTCGGCATCATTGGTAACAGTTCGTCGTTTTTTTCTTCTCTCGTATATGATTCGATCGCATTCTCTGTTCTGATAAATCCGGGCCAGTAATTGCATTATCTCTGCAGGCGATCTTGGACAGACTTATGATTCGAACCAAACGTTGGAGCATTATTATTCAAATCCGAAGGGACAAGCGGTTCTGTTCGCCGGAGACCTCTCATACGCCGATAATCATCCGTTTCACGACAATAGGAAGTGGGATACATGGGGTCGATTTGTGGAGAAGAGCACTGCGTATCAGCCATGGATTTGGACCGCCGGTAACCACGAAATAGATTTTGCTCCACAAATTGTAAGAACAGATCAATAACAATATTTATATCTATTCATACTTGAAATTGAAGCTAATTTGATTCGATTGTCTCAGGGAGAAAACACCCCTTTT